GTACTTTATATTTCTGCTCCCTACATGGAGTACCTTACATTTGTCTATGTTAAATTTCATCTGCCAGGTGTCAGCCCAGTCAATAATTAAATTAAGATCCCGCTGTAGCTGCTGAGCCGCTAGTTCAGTATCTGCTACACCATGGTGAACTCAAGTGCAACACTGTAATGCAGAATTAAGTTTTATAATGGCTGCATCTGTATCTTATCATTGTGAACTACAGGAGTGTGAAAAAGTGTAATTTAGAAACACCTTACAACAACAACTTGGAGTTGTTTTAATGATGATGAAAATATGACAAACAGAAAATATGTATCACAAAATACCCAAAGTGTGACAACAGACAAAAATGGAGAAGGCAGACCCCAAAATGCGGGAGCAATCAGGTTTATTTTAGAAACCGGGCACTGACAAATCCAAGGGGGTGATCCAGGAGAGTGATCGGGTCACAGGCAGAGATCGAGTACCGGGGAAGTCAGTCCTACACCGATGGACGAGAGGAGATGACGAGGGGATGGGACGAGCAGGATAGGCGAGGTAGCAGGGTAGGACAGGGCATGCAGGTGGGCAGGCAGGACACAGAAGACAGAAGGCAGGACAAAACGCTTGGTATGGCTCATTTGAAAATGGAAACAATACTTCGCAATGCAAGATAAGATTGGCAACGCCGAGAAGTGGGGCGATCAGCTGGTGACAGAACCCCCCCCCAATGGCCGCCTCCTGGAGGCTGAGTCGGGTGACGCGGACACCCCCGCGGCCATGGAGCAGGCTACGATGGATGGGCAGCGTGGAAGTCGGCCACCAGGCTGGGGTCCAGGATGTCTGTCGCAGGGACCCATGAGCGTTCCTCGGAACCAAACCCCTCCCAATCAACCAGGTATTGGAGGTGCCCTGCACGGTGGCGGGAGTCCAGGAGAGCTCGAACCTGGAACACCATGTAGCCATCCTGCAATGGGCTTGGAGAAGGGACTGCTACGTCAGCAGGGGGATGTGATGCACTGTACCACACTGGCTTCAATAGGGAAGCATGGAACGTAGGGCAGATACGGTACACCCTGGGCAGCTGTAAACGAAAAGAAGCAGGGCCCACGTGTTTGGCGATCTTGAACGGCCCAATAAAGCAGGCCAACAATTTATGGCATGCAGGGAGTTTGAGGTTCTGGGTCAATAGCCAAACTCATTGTCCCACATGACAGGGTGGGGCGGCGCGGTGGTGTTTATCCGCATGTACCTTCGTCCTCAAGGATTGAGCAGAGAGGGCAAGTTGTGTCCGATGCCACACCTCCTGGGCACTCTGGAACCACTCGTCGACTGGGGGCACATCACTGGTGGTTGAATCCCAGGGGATGATCTGTGGGTGATACCCCAACACACACTTGAAAGGGGATAAGTGAGCAACTGGGTTCACTCGAGTGTTTTAGGCATATTCCACCCATACTAAGTGAGTAGCCCACTCTGCGGGTTTGTCTTTGCATAAAAAGCTCAAAGCCTTGGACACCTCCTGGTTGGTTCTTTCGGCCAGTCCATTGGACTGGGGGTGGTAGGCAGAAGACAGACTTAGGGAGATGTGAAGTTTAGCGCAGAAGGCACGAAACACCTGCGAGGAGAATTGCAGACCACGATCCGATACTACATCCTCTGGGATGAGAAATACCCCGGCCAGGTCCATCACAGTCAGAAGCTTAGGAAGAGCAAGAAGTCGACACATTTCGGAGAAGTGGTCGACCGCTGTTCCCTTTCGAGAGGGGAAGCTCCATTATGAAGTCCATCGTGATATGGGACCAGGGACGCGATGGGATCAGCAGTGGGTAAAGCAGTCCGGCCGGAGGTAAGTGTGATGCCTTAAGTTTGGCACTAATACCTTCATGCCACCAACCGGAGCATTGCGGAGACCCCCGGGTGCCTGGAACTATAGCAGGTATGGACCCACCTGAGGACTGCTGGTCTGTGTGCGGTAGGTACATACAATTTTCCAGGGGGTCAGCTGGCAGGTGGAGTTGTATGATCGTTAGCAGCTTGGAGGGTTTCTTCTATAGGCCAAGAGATGGTGGCAGTGAAGCTTGAAGGGGCTAGGAAGGGAACAGTGCGATCCATCTCTGCCGTGAGGTCGTACTGCTGGGAGAGTGCATCGGCTTTGATGTTCTTCGGTCCTGGAAGGTAAGTCACTACAAAATTAAACCGAGTGAAGAACATAGCCCAGCGGGCCTGGCGAAGATTTAGTCTTTTAGCGGTTTGCAAATATTTGAGGTTCCGGTGATCGGTGAGGACCTGGAAGGGCTGACGAGCCCCTTCCAACCAATGTCTCCATTCCTCTAAAGCTAGTTGGATTGCCAGAATTTCTTGGTTCCCCACTTCATAGTTCCGTTCGGCAGGGGTGAGTTTTTTAGAGAAGTACGCACAGGGGTGTCGGCGACCGGTTACCGGGTCTCTCTGTATGAGGATGCCTCCCACTCCAGCCTCAGATGTGTCCACCTCCACCTCAAAAGGATCCTCGGGATGTGGTTGTCGAAGGATGGGTGCGGAGCAAAAGGCATCTTTAAGCTTCTGGAAGGTGTGGTCCGCCTCCAGGGTCCACTGCAGTCGGGGCCTTTTTCCTTAGATGAGGGAGGTGAATGGAGCGGCTACCTGGCTGAAACTTCTCACAAACCGGCGGTAAAAGTTAGCAAATCCGAGAAACCATTGTAGTTCTTTAATTGTATGTCTGTGGAGACCAAGTCATGCGTGAAAATGATTCCTCATGCTCCTTGAACCACTCTTTGACAATTTGAACCCAATGAATCTTGGCATTCTTTAAACAGTATGATTACATGAAAGAACCAGATGTACTCTATAATAACACATATATAAATAAAATTAAATAAAAAGCCATTATGTCTCTGTAACGAGCGTCATGCACCCACACGTTTCTAATGCGGCGCTCAAATATCGTTTAATAATGCACCACTCATTTCAGTGTGCACTGAAAAAGCAAAACCACACCTTTGGGAAAAGGGACACAGGTGCAAAATCATTTGCATTTTAGATAATGTGTGCATGGCATGAAAATGAGTCATGCTTTCCGCCGATGCAAAATAGGACCCAATAACTGCAGAGTTACGAACTTCCTCTGACATTAACCTCAGCACAGAAACATTGTACCAGGAGCTTCATGGAATGAGCTGCAAGCATGCAAGCCTCACATCACCAAGTACAATGCCAACTGTCGGATGGATTGGTGTAAAGAATGTTGCCACTAGACTCTAAAGCAGTGGAAACGTGTTCTGTAGAATGACAAATCATGCTTTTCTGTCTAGAAGTCTGATGGACAAGTCTGGGTTTGCTGGTTGCCTGCCAGACTGCAGTGTTCTAACTGTAAAGTTGGGTGAAGTATAATGGTATGGGACTGTTTTTCTGGGGTTTGGCTAGGAACTCTTTTGCTGTCACACCCTGCTCCGTTTGATCCTAATGTGTGCCACGGCCACCTCGTTACCTCGTGTTCAGCCCTGATTGTGATCGCCTGTGTCCTATTAAGTCTAGCTTGACTTTTGTATTTAGTCCTCGTCTGAGTCAGTCTTCCCCAGACTTGTCATTGTAGTGTCATGCGTTGGTCCTGTATCTTCGTCTGTCAGCCTATAATAAACCCCTTCTGTCCGCATTTACGGCTCCGATTGCCTGCTTCCCGGCTCGCCTATCGTCCGATCGTGACAGAATGACAAGTCTCCCAACCAAGCTCAGCGCTGTCGGGAGCGACCTCTCGATCGACGAAGAGGTGATCCACTGGACCAACATGCTGGAACTTCAGGGGGATCCAGTGGCCCGCCCGTTAGTGGAGAAATGTTGGAGGCTCCTGAGAAAGAGGTATGAGATCGGTGAGGAGCAGCTGCAGGCGAAGGTGGGAAGACACCTACAGCAGCTGAGGGAGAGAGCGGCAGCCTGGCTGTCCCCCCTGGGATACGCCTCCTGGGAGCCGCCCCCCGACTCGCCACCTGCCTCCTTACCCGTCGCTAGCCAGACGGCAAGGGCTCCAACCTCCACTAACCAGCGCAAGACTGAGCTTCAAGCGCCCCTCCTGCCGCCCGTGCAGAACCTACCGGCCGCACTGCCTGCTCCGGACCTGCATGTTCCGGATCTGCCCGCGGCTGCGCTGCCTGCTGCCGCCGCCGATCTGCCCGCGGCTGCGCTGCCTA